TTTTCTAATTGAACAGGACAAAATTTAGCAGGACCCCTAACAAAATATGAAGGAAACGGTGAAATTTTATTTATTTCAAATGTGTGGAAACAGGCCTACTATGATATCTTTATTAATTTATTATTTCAAAAAAAGCAAATTAAAAAATGCATAATTGCAATATATTCGGCCATTTGCCACCCCATTTTATAATATCTTAATTGCAGTCCGTGTCAGAAATATCCCGTAAATCAGTATATGTATGTATTTTACTGCCGATTTGGACTACCGAAAAGATTACACGTTTATCCTCTGAAATAAAAATTTTATTTTCAACTACAATTTGATTATTGTAACCACCGTTTTATCCATTACAGGCAACTGCACCTCAGACCAGTTTACGTGCGCAAGCTCCGGCATGTGCATCGGCCAATTCAGTGTATGCGACGGGTACAACAACTGCGGCGACTACAGCGACGAACAAAATTGTCTGTGTTATAAAATTATGAATTTTAAAAAATATTCTTCGTTAGAAAAGCAAGTCCCAGAAGACCGAGTGTAATGGAAATAAATAATGCGATTGATTTTTTAGAATATCAGTTCCAATAGATATCTGGGAAAAAATAATGAAGTCAGTCGTAAAGATAAATTTGAAAATGATTGATTTAATTTATTCAAGAAATGCATCAGCCAGTAGAAACTCTTTCACTCCGCGTAGACAGTTTTGATACAGCTGCACATACGTTTATTTTTTCAACTTATATCATTCATAAACTTGAATATTAAACAAATGAAATGAATGGAAAAAGTTTTTAAAAATACGCATCAATATTATTTTATTAATATTTTAATATATATTTTTTATATATTATATTATTATTTTAAGAAGAGTTTAATTTTCTTCTTTAATCCAGCAATGCGACAGAATTTCAGTTATGTTATCACTAGGATTGAACAAACTTTAACTGGTGTTTCTGAGTATCACAGTATCTTTGGGCACTTTTTCAATTTTTTCGTATATTTATAATATTAACAAAGTAATTATAATTTTTCCTAGGTGATTGCACAGGTTATTTTAAATGTGAGAATATCGGCATGTGCATAGCTAATGAGAAAATTTGCAACGGCGTCAACGACTGCGGCGACTACAGCGACGAACAAAACTGTGAGTGAAGAATTATGTGTTAGATAAATGACTGCGATATCCACGTAAATGATTGTTATCGCTATAATTTAATATAATTAAAATCCCTTAAAAAGAATTACTGAGCTTGACATTAATTTTATACGTCAAAATCATAATGTTAAAATTTTAAAGGTAGTGAATGCCTGAGAGACCAAAAAGAGAAGACGAGGAAGGTGGAATTTTAATTAAAGTTTAGTAATTCAACGTTATATTTATATATTTTACCACCTCAGTATAAATATGCATTGCATATTCTCCTAGATTAAAATCTCAGGCAAGCTTTTGCATTGAGTTACTGAATACTGAAAAATTAAAATATTGTTGTTTCTTTCAGTAATTGCCATCATTTGCCATTAACAGCTACAATAGAAACACTAATTAAACCAGGATAGGCCCCTGCCATCATATATTATGAAAATATAAACCAAAATGGTATTGGCCGCACATTATTTTCCTCTACATCCTCTCCATTAATTAAAATTCTTTAATAATATTAGTTTTTTTACAAGATGCTTTTGTACACACCAGGTAACTGCACCGCTGATCAGCTAGTGTGTGAAGACAGCGGCATGTGCATTGATTGGATCTATGTGTGTAATCGCTACTTCGACTGTGAGGACGGCAGCGACGAATTGAATTGCACTGGTAGGAGCTAAACCCTTTTTTCTGCTACTAACCCACCTAACAAATGAGTTTAAACGACATTTAATTAACGTTGATTTCACCACATATGAGGTTGTTTGATGTTATTTAAGATCTTCTTTAATTCTTCATTGAACCAATCATGAATTGCTAACTTCCAGGTCTCTGCACACACATTGAAGTGCCGTGTTCGAACAGGAACCAATGTATATACGAGTGGGAGGTGTGCGACGGCTACAACAACTGCGGCGACTATAGTGATGAGCAGAACTGTGAGTGATGTTAAAGACAACAGCTGCGGCGACTATAGTGATGAGCAGAACTGTGAGTGAGTGAAGGATGGCGGGGGAGTGAAGGATGGCGGTGGAGTGAAGGATGGCGGGGGAGTGAAGGATGGCGGGGGAGTGAAGGAGAGCGCTGGAATGAAGGATAGAGTGGAAATGAAACTCTTCCTGTAGCGAGAGAGCGCAAGAGTTTTAACCCTCTACCGCCGTATGTCACTCTACGGGAACATAATTTTCAACTAAAATTATTCTTAAACTATTTATTGTATTAACCTGAGTACGTCTGTACACAACAGAGAACATTTTAAAGTTGTCGTACGTGGCGGCAACCATCAGTGCAAGTCATTTTGCGCTCACTAGAACGTATCCTTTTTGGGAAGTAGGCGCGTGACTAAATTGCTCCCTTACTCATGTCAGGCGGTAGGGAGCATTTAAAGGACATCCTACTATAGAAGATTTATGAAAAATTTCTGATTATCACTCTCCACTCTATGGGATCAAAAATATATTTCATGACTGCAATCTAAAAAAAATCCGCAGCGTTAATGGCATAAATACATGATCAATTTGGAATAGGTTGAATAAAAATACAGCAAATTTATCTGAGCAAACACTGAATACAGCAAACTCTGAGTGAATGTATTTGATTAATTATAATTCTTTAATAGAACCCGCGATAGCTGGATTGAAACTGTTCAGGTGGAGGTCAAAATCGAATTTAAAAAGTCATAAAATGATGGTAAAAGGAAATCGTGAGCTTTTTGTGGCGAGTCTCCCATTTAGTGATGGGAAGAGTTGTCGTTAAAAAAACCATAGTAATCGCTTCAGATGTGGGGTGTTTAATTAAAAAAATGTGGCTGATTACACATGGAATTACTACCCTATAGAAGAGAAACTATCAATTATTATACGTATTAAAATATTGATCGAAGGACAGAAGTATCATAAAATGCAGTATAGGAAGAAGAAATCAATCTATTTACCACGTTTTTCTTAGCTTCGTTTCGTGTCTGTCTGTCAGTCTGTCATCAAAAATTCAGACCTTAATTTAGAGCTCTTCTGAATATCCTAGAAACTTGACATTTGACATGCATGCTTATGCTGCCTAACAATTCAATATTTGATCATCAGATGCAATAACTAAAAAAATTTTTAGAAAAAAAAGTATAAATAAATAATATAAAAATAAATAAAGAAATATAAAAAATATTTTTGAAAACCACGTTTTTCTGGCTTTTACAAAACTAAAAATAGTGAAATAAAATAGATAAAAAAAATTATAAAAACCACGTTTTCTTAACGGACAAAAAAAAACATTTGCTCTTTCATAACATTACATAACATTTTGCATAACTTAAATGTTATGTAAGAATAAATGTTTTTCTTTTCTGTCCGTTAAGAAAACTTGATTTTCTAAAGTTTTTTTTATTTGTTTTATTTTACTAGCAATCTTCATTGCATAGCGTTAGGGATAGGCGTATACGGGCAGCATTATCTCCTGATACGCTTTCAAAGCGCACCTAATCTCACAATTCTCTGTTATCACTTCAAATAATGCATAGTGGGGGTGACCAGATAACAAACAAAGTAGCACACGTGAGTGAGGAGGGTGAACGAAGCGAAATTCAAGCGTCACAATAGTCACTTTCAATCAGCCAAACATTTCACACATCCTCGAATTTTATTTAACAAAAGATGTATTTTCCCGGCAAAAGTCAATTAACTCTGCAATTAATTTCTGATACCCTTCACATTCTGTTATAAATCTTTCAATTCAAGCAAAATCTTTTCTTCTTGGAAAAGCTGATAATTTTACAATACAAGGTGTAATGTTATTCATATGAACTATTATAATCATTAAAAACCTCATGTCTAACATTATTTATGCTAGATAACTGCTTTATAGTTTCAATTTATAATCGGTTAATAAATTATCGAAAGTGTATAATTTACAAGACTAAATATGATAAAGTGTCGCACATAATATCATGAAATGGAAAATTCAATGTTTATATGTAGATTTTAATGAATTCCAAGAATTCACGTTGTGCGCGAAAAGATAGCAATCGTACATCGAAGCTCCATCTTATCTGATATTTACAAATTAGATTTGTACAAGTCCAGTTAATTAAACATAAAGTATAATTTAGCACCCCGAAATGTATATGTCAATAATTAAGAAAAATCTTTGTTTGTTACAAAAAGAACAGAAACACTTGCTACCATAACTGCCATACGCGCCACAACCAAACAGTAATCATAACCGACAAGTTTGACAACGTCACGAGCAGCGCCCGGAGCGTCCGCCAGTTGTCGGCTACGAGCCCTCCCGTCATCCGCGGCTCTCCGCGCTCCAGCCGTGAAATTTAGCACCGATGTGAACAATATCCGAGCAAACTGAAACTAATTATGCATCGAATTTTAACCTTGAAGTTATAAAAACAATCGTCTAGCTATTTGATTTTAATAAATGGTTAATAATTTTAATTTTAATGAATCGTGTTATTATTATAATGAAACAAATTAATATTATCAATGAATGAGTAAAGATTTTGCGTATTCGATCCAAGCAAAAGTATTCTCAAGTAAGCTTTTAGGTTCTAAGGAACAATAATGAAGTGTTATTTAAAATTATTGTTTAATTGTATATCATATACCCACATTAAATACACACAGTCTATAACATTCTGAAAATTTATTAATGGAAACCGCTTCAAAAATAGCAATAAATTTAGTATCAACACTCAAAGTTTACGTTGACCATGATAAAAAAATGATTGACTTATAACTGGGCTTAAACTAGAAATTATTTGATCATTGATTTAAATTTGCCGGTGGTCAAGAATTTCCATTATTGCTAGAGTACGTAAAATATGAGATGAATGAGAAAGACGTCGAATTTTTTTTTCAGTCAAAAAATAGATCAGATACATGAACGAATAAAATTCGATTTATTCTAAATAAATGTTCTCCTAAATTCAAAGGCTCAATCGCTGTGGAATGAAGGTAAGAGGTTGATTTCATTCGATTTAATTTACAGGTTTTTTTTACTTATCTGTAATTTTTTATCTAATTTGTCTAAAATAATTAAAAATTACTTGTTTACTATTAATTAATCATTATTACTATAAAAAGCTATTGAGAATTTACTTATTATTGTATCACGTTTCTTGTTACCGCTAATCATAAACTTTTCCCGTTCCTCCCGATCTAGAATTTTCGATTTTTCGATAAAAAGTCTTGCATTTTTCTTGCATGTTGACCTAGATATCTTTTGTTGCCATGATTGCGATTTTGACTGGAATCTTTAAACAGCTCAGGGTTGATCCATTGTGATCAGTAAACACTCAGGGAAATGAGTGAGATTTGTTCCAGATAACAATACCTTTTCTGCCTCTATGAGTTATCCTGACTCAGTTGGGCTCGCTAAATGGGCGGATCAGTGCTACGTGCAGAAAGTGAGTCATTATTTGCACAATAGAGCCCTTAATTTTTCTGAGTGAAAAGAATTCCTCAGGTTGTTCATCGATACGTTCGTTAAAATTTAATTAAACATTTCTCACAAATTTTTCGTGACAGCGTCTTGTTGGGAACAACTGTAGGCTGCTGCTGCTCCTGGCACTAATTTTCTCAGCTGCAGCATCGTCGCTCAGTGGCATCAAGTCTAGTGAGTGATCAAAGTAGTTGCAACTGCTACTGTATTTTGCAAATCAAATATTCATCTAAATTACTGCACTTAAAACAAATCAAATTTGTTCAAATCCTTCATAAAATTCACAAGAGTTTAGCAAAATTCTTACAACATGTCGCACATCTTCATCTTTGTTGGATTCTCAGATTTTCTAGCTAACAATAAAATGGTTACGAATTAAAAATTTTGAAAGTTAATTATTAAATTAACATTCGTATTCTTGAGCGATAAATTTATAACAAACTTCTTATATGATTTTAACAGATAAATTTACTCACTTACCGTCATGAATTCCTATAACATCACGCGCAATCCACAGTAGCCGTGCTAGTTGTCTCAAAACTTGTCAAGTGCTGAAACAAGTTATCACTTGTTGCAATATAATCCTGATAGTCTAAATTAAATGATATGACGTCATTTTCAAATCATTCACACCACAATAATCTCATTGAGCCGTTATTTTGAGCCATTAGGATTAAATTCCAATTGTGCTTTAAATTCACCCAGGCAACTGCAATGAAGACCAGTTCGAATGCGTGATCAGCCACCGATGTATTGGCCTAGCCTTAACGTGCGACGGCTATAATAACTGCGGCGACTACAGCGACGAACGAGACTGTTAGTACATAAATTAATTAAATTAAATATTTAGTACAGCCAACTATATTTATCCCCATAAATCTTAATCTTATCCCCATTTATCTTAATGCCACACCCGTCTGCGCTGACTACAGGATTGAAAATTAATATCTAAACATGGAATATTCAGTAAATCTGAGAATATTTATGAGCGTCAAAATTCATGACAGTAGTTTATGTATAACGGTCTAAATGCTACTGACACCTACGTAGATTTAGTTACTTTAACATTAATTTCAACAGGTAACTGCACCTCGGAACAGTTCAAATGCGACAATGGCATGTGCATTGATCATCGGATACGCTGCAACGGATACGACAACTGCGGAGACTTGAGTGACGAACGCGGCTGTGAGTGATGCATGTTTACATCCGACATTATCCGGATGTAAATGTCCAGATCGATTATATTTATAGTTCAGTGATAACCATGACCGTTATGCAAATTTATTTCAATTCTCGAGAGTACTGGAGGGACCGAGTCGAAATGTGATTCGACAGGGACCGAAGAGGAGCTCGATGCTGCGGGTTGCTGTCAAAGGGCCGTACTATCAAAGATCAAACTACTATCAAATCGTACTCTGTCACTTCTACTACCGTTCCGTGACTGCTAATACCGTACTATCAAAGCTGAGAACCAATCACTGACGTCTTTGCAGGCAAAACCTACCCATGGTTGAACAATATAAGGTTGACCCTCGAGGGGGTTGACCCTTCCGTCTTCTAGTTCAGCTTTCTGGTTACGTCACTGAGATTGAGAAACGTAAACAATCCCGTCATTCCCATGACGGATTGATTGACGGGTTTGATCGCATTTCGGTGATTGGTTAATGCCCGTGACGTCACTGAGATCAGTGACATCACCGAGGAACAACAAACTACATCCGCAAAAATGAGCTTCTCATGAGTCAACCTTATACTAATTCAACCATGAAAGCTACCAATCACAGATGAGAAAAAGGCCTCTACGTGTACTGACAAATTTTGATAGTACGGTCCTGGTCCTTTTGTACTATTCTGAGCAGGAGTAGATTGGCAATGGGTACTAAAACTATACACTGTGCAGTACAACAAGTACACAATTTAATCTATGATAACATAAGGTTGTCAAACAATTTTTAATTGCATTTCAGGCAACTGCAACGCCGAGCAGTTTGAATGCGAGAACATAAGCATGTGCCTGTATGAAGCAAACGTTTGTGACGGTTTCAACAACTGTGGGGATTACAGTGACGAAAAGGACTGTGAGTGATTACTGATATTTATTAAAAAGTCGACCAACTTACTGTAAAATTATGCCAAATTATTGTTTTGAAGCAAACACAACATTTTAGAAAATAAATCCTATTTTATGATATACATGGAGGTTTTCGAGCATGCTGATTCGATAGTATTAAATTAAACAGTTAATCACAGAAAATTTTGGGATTACGATATCAATTTTATTAATATATAAATTAATATTATTTATATATTATATATTATTTTTATATATTAGACCATATTAATTTTAGTAAGCGGACGGAGTATATCAGTTTGAAAATAGGTGAATAATTTTCAGCCGTAAATTTAACAAGTATTTAATGTCCATTTAATGAGCGGACAGAATATCTGTCTAAAAATTATCGATTTATTTTTTGTTATAATTTCGTTTTTTTTCACTGATATCTCATCCTTTATAGGCAACTGCACCTCGGACCAGTTTGTGTGCGTGAGCTCCGGCATGTGCGTTAACCAAATGTATGCGTGCGATGGTATGAACAACTGCGGCGACTACAGCGATGAACAAAACTGTACGTCTCAGAAAATTAATGTAATAAAGTCTGAATTTTGTAATAAAAAATACAGTGGAGTCCCTTAAGTCGACCGATATATAGAATCGACATAGTATGAAATTGATGCAATATTCATACAAAATCGAGACTCAGAAATAAAGTTGACTGAAAAGAGGAAATCAGCTTCAGTTTGCTGCCTGTATCAGCGCAAGAAAGTTTTAAGACTCTATACTTTGATTTACATTGAGCTTCTACGCAGATTTGTTCACTAGAAATTACTTTACAGGGAAGGAGACGAATTAAAAAATATATATATTTTAGTTCAGAAAAAATTTCTGACTGGCAATTTCAATTATTTATTATGGTATAAATCGATTCAGAAGTCGACCTTTTCAGAAGCAGACGCTCCTCCTGGAAATGATTGTCGTCAACTTCCGGGGTTCCACTGAATTTTTTAATGTAAAATACCAGATTATGCGAATGAAACGAAATTTAAAAAAAACCTAATTCATTTTAAAGGATCTAATTTAAGTAGTATAAACCAAATGCGGGAGAGAAGAAGCATGACTCCAAATATGGCGCACAAGTGGACTATGTACAAGCTGAAAAAAAATGATTACGTAGCGTAGTAATTTACCGAGTGTGAAATGAAGTTACTTGTTACATAAAATTAAAATTTAAAACTTACCACAATTATTCGAAAAAAAGAGGATGCTAAAAATTAATGACAATATTCCATCAGTAAAATGAGCAAAATACACATAGAAACTCCATAAACTCCTTAAAACAAACACTATTAGTTTTGCCCCACTTGTCCCCCTTCCGATCTTACTATTTGATATTGACAATCCCGTCTTCACATTTTATCAAGCAATCCTTGCATCTCATTTGACGAAACTTCTCCTCTATAAGGCTGAAAGTACAAATTATGCATGAGAAAACGATGTTGTGGTGAAATAATCTTTAAATTGTATTAGTGCTATAAAGTGTATTGATTCAGGCTTTAGTGACAGCATTATTTTAATATTATATCTTCGTTTTTCCATGTAGGCAATTGCACAGAGCGGTTCGTTTGTCAGAATAATGGTATGTGCATTTCTTTTCGGAAAGTGTGCAACGGCCACAACGATTGCGGCGACTACAGCGACGAACGAGACTGTGAGGAATGAAAATATTGCATGAATTAGTCTTAATGTGATAGATTTTAAAACAAGATTTCCAATCTTCGTTATTATATGTAGATACCAATATTTGATATATCAAAACTAATTTGTGAAAGTGATGAATTCACGTGAGAACTGATATGAGAAACGAATAAAAAAATGTATGGAAGAATTTTGTAATTCATCCTTTCATTTTCGTATTTTTTAAAGGGTTGAAAATTATTGAACACCATTATTATCATAGATGTCTTTTCGTTAACAAATTCACTCATCATAACATCTGAAATGAACACATTCGTTTAGAAAACGTTGAATTCGTAGAAAAACCTATCCACAATTGGTAATTAGTTATTTTAAATTTATTATTTGACGTAACCGTCATTATATAGATTATATATATTTATTTAAACATTATATTTACATTAACCAGGTAACTGCACGGCCGATCAGCTAGCTTGTGAAGACAACGGCATGTGCATTGATTGGATCTTTGTATGCGACCGACACCCCAACTGTGAGGACGGCAGCGACGAGAGAAACTGCACGGGTATCCGCTCCCATGTGACGTTGAAATAACGTTGATTTAGCGCTGTTTCAACGAAATCAAATCGTAATCAAATTTGTTTCTGCTATGCGAGTTTGTTCGGCTTGATCTCCCCTTTCTGTTGAGTTTCACGGGAATTATGTCCCGGCAATGCATGCGCTATATTCACTTACTTTATTCTTTATTCTTTCATACACAGAAGCAACACAGCACGACTCAATAGAAAGAGAAAAAAAATGCTATTTAGAAATAAATGCTTCCAGGTGAAAGGCCTATACAAGCTATAAAAAAAGCTTCGCAGGCGTAATAGGTGACGAGTATGAACGTAATAGTGGCAACAAGTACAACAGAAATGAATAAAAATATTAAATTCTAAAGTAAAGGCAGTACATAAGTAAATTGTCACAAGAAAAAAAACTATATGATAAACCACGTTAAATTAATATTGAGCAAGAATATGAGCACGAAATTTTGTCTTTAAAACGGATTTAGAACAGTTTATTCTGAAATCATCAGGCAGTTCATTAAAATGTTTTACACAATTAAAAACAGTACCATTTTTCTCTATTTCTAAACGGACCGGTGGAAGGTTGAGACGAACGCCTCTGGTATCATGGAAATGATGAGGAACAAGAGGATCAAAAAAACTTTCAGAGAGACGCTGATCATGAAAAAGTGCCCTATTCATAAACTGTAAAAGCTTAAATTTATACATGCCGTCGAATTTCAGGATTTTTGACTGTCTATATAATTCATTGGTACGAATCAATGGCACATAATTAACATATCGAACCCTATAAGGATTGACCGCAGTGTCCTGTTCATCAACGTGATAACCGGTTTTTTTGAACAGATAGGCACTCCACCCCATATTACAAGGGTATTAGAAAATTTAGATAAAAACAACGAATAGAAGAGCGTTCTTAACGAGGAGAAAGTTAAGACACTTGATAGAGCATGTAACACTCCATGGGCTTTGCTAAGTCCCTGGCAAACGGAAGTAATATGTTTTTTAAAAGACATTTTATTGTCAAGGATTAAGCCTAAATAACGAAAATCGTCAACCCATTCTAAAATTGATCCATTAAAAGTGATTTTCCTAGGGGCGACAACAGGTCTAGACGTAAAAAGCATCAGTTTAGTTTTATCGGTGTGTGCCACTAACTTATTTACTAACAGCCATCTTGACAAGTCTGCTGACAGATCCGAAATGCTATCACACGCTTCATCGTAGGTACCTTTCGAGATATAAAAAACGGCATCATCAGCAAAAAGCTTGCAGTTCGCATTGGAAGAAGAGGCGGTATCATTTATGAAAATATTAAAAATAAGAGGCCCCAGAACAGAGCCCTGGGGTACTCCAATCGTGATTGGTCTTGAGGGCGATTTGTACTCGCACAATGAAACATATTGTTCCCTATTGGTTAGATATGACTTTATACTATACTATATTCACAGATTAAAAAAAAAGAAGTCTAGTCCAAAGATTTTATCAACTCGAAGAGTTTTCATTTTCATTAAAATCAAGTTTGAATACGCTGACAGGGTCATGTTCAATTCTATGAAAACTTTATCTGTAAATCGTACACTTGTTTCTTACTTCATTCGAATATAAGATGGTCTCTAATTCATTATTAAATGATGAATTTTCTCACTCTCAGGTCTCTGCACGCACGTTGAAGTGCAGTGCTCGAACAGGAACCAATGTATATACGAGTGGGAGGTGTGCGACGGCTACAACAGCTGTGGCGACTATAGTGATGAGCAGAACTGTGAGTGATGTTAAAGACAACAGCTGTGGCGACTATAGTGATGAGCAGAACTGTGAGTGATGTTAAAGACAACAGCTGCGGCGACTATAGTGATGAGCAGAACTGTGAGTGATGTTAAGACAACAGCTGCGGCGACTATAGTGATGAGCAGAACTGTGAGTGATGTTAAAGACAACAGCTGCGGCGACTATAGTGATGAGCAGAACTGTGAGTGATGTTAAGACAACAACTGCGGCGACTATAGTGATGAGCAGAACTGTGAGTGATGTTAAAGACAACAACTGCGGCGACTATAGTGATGAGCAGAACTGTGAGTGATGTTAAAGACAACAGCTGCGGCGACTTTAATAATAAGTGGAGGAAATCATATGATCTTCACCACATGACTGCATTCATATCCTATATCATACGACTGACGTCACCTTCCACTAAAATTAAGCATTAAACTGCGTGTGATGCGTTCTTTTTGATATAAATTATTAGTTCAGCATCAACCGTGACAGTAATATCGTGCGTACAAAGAAATTTTTTTAGAAACCATGGTCAAGTAACTTAGATGTGATTATTTGGTAACAACTCACACACTCTGAAGAAATAATGCACTATAATGATTTCGACGCTATATAATAATTAGAAAATTGATAATAATTTCTTCAGAACAAAACATAATTTGATCTTCTGGTTTCTTCAATTCGCATTTTCAAAATTTATGTACGAAGGTATATAAATATGTACGTACAATTAGCTGCGTTTGTAATACTGTAACGATGAAAAAACACTTTTTTTCAAATAATATTAATGTACTTCGTACCGTTAATTTATCTATTGTGTAATCAGTTTCGTAAATTACGTATGATTTGTGTGCTTCACGTGCATGATACACCGTCCTGTTTCACATACGGTGAAATATAAAAAAAACCTGTGGTGTATAAGCCACTTTATATCTTTGCGTTCAACTCAAAAATAACTTATCAACTTATTCAAGAACGAAAATATCTCACTAAGTTTATTTCCAGCCTCGAAGTTGCTGTGGGCTCACACCAAAGCCAACTAGGCCCAAGCATCATCATTTATATTTATGGCTCGTGATCGTCCATCGACTCAACTTCTCGGCTTTCAAGGGTGCAATTAATTAATGTCCATTGTAGTCAACCATTTAATAATCCAGGTTTAAGTCCAAGCTCTGAACTTTCCTGAAATCAAAAACTAAGTATAAGAAATGCTAAAGATACTTGTTGAGTATTTACAATGATAATACATGTCTACTAATACATACTTATTGAAACAATATACACTTCATAACTATTCTGAATAATATTTACACTTGACAGTCAACACTTCAACAGCCTACAGTAACAACAATATACACACCTCCTTCACGACTCCGTCCGACACAATGACTAATCTAGAGCTCCTAAAGTACGGACGTTAACGAGATGTTGGTTTCCTCTGAACATAAAATTATAGAATTCAATTGTCTTATTTAAAACCTTAACAAAGTCTTAAAAATGATGAAATTTAGGCTAATAATAATACTAATAATTTAATCTAACCTCAATTTATAAAAATTCCTCTTGTGAATGATTACAGAACATCATGATGACACATTTTACAGCAATTTCTATATATTTATTTTTATCCAACTTATTTTCTGCCAGGCAACTGCACAGATAAATTCGTGTGCGAAGATAGCGGCATGTGCATTCATAATTTTCAAGTATGCGACGGCTACCTGCAATGCGACGACTATAGTGATGAACGAGACTGTGAGTGATGAGGACTCACTTTAATCTAAAATATATTAAAGTGAGATTCAAATGATTTGAAATGTATTTTGCTATTGGATCAATTGATTTACGAGAAAGTCAACTTACATCAAGGTTATAATGATAATTGAAAAAATAATTATCGACTTTGAAGTATAAGTAATTTGAATTCATTACTTACTAGGTAACTGCACTACTTATGAGTTCAAGTGTGGCAACGGCATTTGCATTTCTCAATGGTATTTATGTAACGGGTACGACAACTGCGGAGATAATAGCGATGAACAAGGCTGCCCGACTGTGCTTCCAGGTATGATATGTTAATGTTTTTTTTATACAAAGAACATATTCTTGCCAATTCTAACAGAAAAATTCGCCGAGTTAGGTTTTTAAGTTAACCCTAGAAGGGTTAAACTAAGGGCAGAAGTGGTTAATCCAGGTCAACCCTTTCTACATAACAAATCTTATACACTGCACCTCACTAATCACGTTAGTATGAATAATACATAGATAAAGAGAGTTAATATGTGCTTTCTTTGACCTCTTCTCATTAGCTATGATATAGATATATTGTTAATAGTTATATTAATCAGTGGAAAACGGGTTAAATTTTATTTAGGCCAGACGTATCCCGATGTGCAGGAGAATGTTACCCGTGGTTGTTCACATGCGAGAACAACGGCACATGCATTCCGGCGGAGTGGGTGTGTGATGGTGACAGCGATTGTGAAAATCGAACCGATGAAGTGAATTGTGAGTTAGAAATGCACTCAAGAGCGATTGTTTATGCGTATTTTCTTGCAAGAAATGACGCGAAGCCTAAATAATTTTATTTATTCTCGAGGACTTCCCACCAGGCAAATGACTTTAAAAATATTTAATTGACGTTGATTCAATTAAGCAAAGTTTTTATTCACGTCGATTCAACGTCAGATTCCTGGCGGGTTGGTCCTACTCATTAACATATTATCCTTATGCGACAATTACCCGCATTAAAATCAAGTGCTGTTTAAAAAATTATTGAATAATGAAATAAAAATCTGAGTGAATATTGTTTTCTAAGAAAAATATCATAACACTTCCTTGGCCAGGTACATGCACTTCGGAGCAGTTCGAGTGCGACAACGGCTACTGCCTACGGCCGTGGTTGAGATGCAACGGCTACAACGAGTGTGGCGACTTTAGCGACGAGCAGAGCTGTGGGTGACGTTTATGTGGGAAATATAACATAACATAACATATGTCGGCGCTGAAGTGTAGGCCTGATGTGGCCTGTCACCGATTCTCTTACGGTTGATGATCAAAGACTCGGGGCTAATTTTAAAACAAAAGCAAAAAAGTGTTGAAATTAATTCAACGGTGCACAAATACTAAGAAAAAATACCAAATTATAAAGTCATAATTGGAGTAAATTATAGAATGAAAGTTGACTGAATGTTAGAACGAATTAAATTTTTTCGTCCAATTTCTGTTATTTGTTAGATGAAATCCAAATCGTTACCTTTTCGTAGCTATATGACAAGATATTTGTACCAAACATATAGCGCATATAACATAAGTTGACAGGATACTTGTACCAAACATGTAGCGCATATGACGTAAGTTGACAGGATACTTGTACCAAACATGTAGCGCATATGACAACCAAACATGTAGCTCATATGACGTAAGTTGACAGGATACTTGTACCAAACATGTAGCTCATATGACGTAAGTAGACAGGATAATTGCACCAAACATGTAGCGCAGGGACGCAATATTTTTGGAGAATGGATTCAGTTGTTTTTTAAACTTGAGTCGTAATGAGTGTCCGGTGGAGAGATTCACTTAATATAAACGAAAAATATATGCTTCTCCAAAATCAAATAGACTTGTTTAAAATGATAAGGAAATCATCCATATCTGAGTTCTCGATTTTAAATCAGTCATGTTAGCCCCCGACAGATGCACTGCAAATCACTTCGTGTGCTTTGTCAGCCCCTAAATACATTTGTTTTGAATTAAATAAGTGAAATCATCAAATTTAGGCAGTTAATTTTGACTGGATTCTCTTAATGTCCTTACCAGGCAACTGCACGGCAGACCAGTTTGTGTGCGAGGCCAGCGGGATGTGCCTGAACGCGTGGAGTTTGTGCGACGAAGTTGACGACTGCGGCGACTCCAGCGACGAGCAAAACTGCGCGCAAATGGAGGATGGCGGTGGAGTGAAGGATGGCGGGGGAGTGAAGGATGGCGGGGGAGTGAAGGATGGCGGGGGAGTGAAGGATGGCGGGGGAGTGAAGGATGGCGGGGGAGTGAAGGATGGCGGGGGAGTGAAGGATGGCGGGGGAGTGAAGGATGGCGGGGGAGTGAAGGATGGCGGGGGAGTGAAGGATGGCGGGGGAGTGAAGGATGGCGGGGGAGTGAAGGATGGCGGGGGAGTGAAGGATGGCGGGGGAGTGAAGGATGGCGGGGGAGTGAAGGATGGCGGGGGAGTGAAGGATGGCGGGGGAGTGAAGGATGGCGGGGGAGTGAAGGATGGCGGGGGAGTGAAGGATGGCGGGGGAGTGAAGGATGGCGGGGGAGTGAAGGATGGCGGGGGAGTGAAGGATGGCGGGGGAGTGAAGGATGGCGGGGGAGTGAAGGATGGCGGGGGAGTGAAGGATGGCGGGGGAGTGAAGGATGGCGGGGGAGTGAAGGATGGCGGGGGAGNCTGCGGCGACTATAGTGATGAGCAGAACTGTGAGTGATGTTAAAGACAACAGCTGCGGCGACTATAGTGATGAGCAGAACTGTGAGTGACGTTAAAGACAACAACTGCGGCGACTTTAGTGATGAGCAGAACAGTTAGTGACATTATTACTATTGAAATTTTTAATGAGATTCACCTTGAAAGTTGCGGAATAATCAGGATCGTAGAACCATCAAAGTATAAAATTATTTTTCTTTGCTCTGATAAAATAATTACATTAGAACTTGTTGCATGATTTGCTAGTGTCTTAGGTAAGAGCTCCGAAGTTCTTATTGCCCTTTCTAAAATATTTATAACGCAAGTTATAGGATTTAGCCTGTACTTGATCGTCACGCTTAGTCACTCAGTGTAGAATCTTGAAATTCAGTAAGACTATTTTATATAATCTAAAATGAATAAATTAATTAAAATTAAATCTCTAAATTAATCTTCGTAACATTAATTAGGCTAATCACCCGACGATTTGTAAAAACTCTCCGTAAAGTCAATTATATATCACGATACATTCTATACAGTTATATTATATATTCAAGAGGAAATTATTGCTAATGTTATTTACACTAGTTTTGAACTCTACCAGGCAACTGCACTGAGAAATTCGTGTGCGAGAACAGCGGCATGTGCATTGCCAGCTGGCGAGAGTGTGACGGATATAACAATTGCGGCGACTACAGTGACGAACGGGACTGTGAGTGATTGATTTAAATTTAAAAGGAATTAGTTTTAAGACAAAAATATTTAGTGACTACATCTTTATTCTTACCCTGTTCATATACATTCTATATAGAATTGTAGTAAATTGTATTCCCCTTGAGTTTCGGATTTGACTCCATGAATTTCGATATTACAATCGTAGAGTTTTCCTTGGGAAAAATTAGTCCAAATTTGATAGCTAATTTTGTCTCCTAAAAAAGTGTCCAGCGATTAAATTCGCATTGTACCCTCCCTCATTGGAATGGGCTAAAAACACTGTTTTTGATCAGTTTGCGCCCTGGAATGATTAAGGAATTAACAAAAATGTAAATCACTAAGTTAGAATAGAATAGAAGAATAGAAGTGTCGGCACTGAAGAAATAGGCCCATGGCCTGTTGCCGTTTCTTGAATTTTTCGTGACTTGATTCACAAGGGATCCGGCCTTTGGAACCCGATCTTTCCATAACTGACGATTGATTGAGATAGCTGCTGGACTTATTGCCTGATCCGTAATTTGCTCGGCATTTTAAGACTGAACATATGCTCCTGCATAGCTTCGTCTAGTCTGCTTTTGAAGATGTTCATACTCGGAGCGTCAACGATGCTATCAGGGAGGCTGTTCCAAATGTCGGTGACTCGAAGCGAGAAGAAACGTTGTCGCATTGATGTGTTACAACGCAGTTTTTTTAGTTTATAGCCATGGCCCCTGGTGTTGGTTCTTGTTTCAATTTCTATTAATCCTTCTGGGACCTTGTATAGGCCAAGAGTATACTTGTATGCTTCAACGAGTTCCCCACGCAGACGTAGATAACTGAGGCTTGGAAGCTTCATAATCTTTAATCTTTCCTCATAGGACTTGCCTTTCAGGCCCGGAATTATCCTTGTTGCACGTATTTGAACGCCATCTATTAAATTTTTGTCCTTTTCAAGTTTCGGTGACCACACGACGTTTCCAAACTCTAGGTTTGGGCGCACGACAGCAACAAACAACTGCTTCATCGCTTCTGCATCTAGGAACTCGAAAGAGCGTCTGATCAGTCCAAGTCGTTTATTGGCTTTATTAATTTGACCTTCAATATGCTTAGAAAATTTCAACTCATTATCGATATTAACTCCTAAATCTTTTTCCATTGTCGACTTCGACATCATCACTCTGTCGTTGCAACCGTGTCTTCTCATACTGTAATCTTGCTGTTCATTATTCTTGCCAAGGTGAATTACTTGACATTTGTCAGCGATAAAACGCAGCTGCCACTTATCAGCCCAGTCAACCAGCCTGTCAAGATCACCTTGTAACTGTACTTTTTGCGACGTATTCTTCACTGTATTATAAATTTTTGTATCGTCAGCATACATCGAGCACACGCTAGACACAGTTTCTGGCAGATCGTTTATAAACGAATAAACAACGAATAAAACAGGCCGAGAACTGAAGCCCACTCTGATTCGGACCGATTAATACTGACACGTTGTCGTCTCCCTACTAGAAAATCTCTGATCCATTTGAGCACATTGCTGTCAATTCCCAAAGACTGCAATTTCCGCAATAGCCGCTCATGTGCAGGGGCACTGTCAAATGTCTTGGCAAAATCGAGGTACACTGCATCTACTGGCTCCCTTTCGTCCAGCAGGCAGGTCCATTCGTTCAGAGGAGACAAGAGGTTAGTGGTGCAGGATCTCCCGGCAATAAAGCCATGTTGACAGTCTGATAGGAGGTTATTGGCAGTCAAATGATCTATCAATCGATCCCTCACAACAGATTCCATTACCTTGCAAACGACACTTGTGAGACTGACAGGGCGATAGTTGCCCGGGCAGCTTTTGTCACCTTTTTTGAAAAATGGTGTCACTTGAGCTTCTTTCCAGTCAGTCGGCAAGATCCATTCGTTCAAATTTTCTCGAAAAAATGACATCAAAGGGCCGGCTAGGACAGTTGCTAACTCTTTGAGTAATCTGGGGTGGAAGCCGTCTGGTACACATGACTTGTTTGGATTTACAGCGATAAGGCGCTTGAGAACCTCTTCTTCTTATATTTCAAAAATTGTTAATTAAGAGCCGACTGGGTGCTCCTCAATAGCTGGAATACTGTTCCAGTCCTCTTCAAAGAATACGCTACTGAAAAACTGATTAAGACCGTTAGCCTTGCCCTCATCAGAGAATATAATTCGTTGATCTACTTTCAAAGCAGAAATACCGTCCTTTATCATGCACTTCGAGCTAGCGTACAAAAAGAAAGCTCTCGGATTCTTTTTTGCATTTCTAGCAATATTTTTTCGAGGGGTTTTACTGCGGTGCAACAGCTTTCTTTAGCTTAATTTCAAGCTCTTGCGTATAGGTTATAGTTAGCATCGCTACGAGTCTGTAAATAACGCTGGCAGGCTTCCTTCTTTGTTTTCAGCTTAGCTAGAACTGTACTGTTCGTCCACTGAGTATTTTTGGCTCCACCAAGCTTAATTTTAGGTACACACGAATCAACTGCAGACATACTGTAACTGTGTCCTTGGGAAATGACGATGACTCAGCCACATTCATGTTCTTAATACAGTTCGAAATATTCACTGCATTCACTGCTTCACGGAGTTTATCATAGTCGCCTTTCGCAAAATTCAAACGCTCACGCTTCCGACTCGTATTTTCTGTACAGCACTTTAGACTGAAAAACAATGATTGGTGATGGCTTTTAACCAATGGAGCCTCGTGACGAAGCTCATCTAACATTGATTCATCACTAGTAAACACCAGGGGCCGTACTTTCAAAACATTCGTAGCGACTTAAGACAACGTAAGTCCGCTAAGTGCACGTAACCACATTAGTTGGTACCTTCAAAACATTTCCGCGCCGAGCTACGTCCGAGAAGTTGTGCACAACTTTACGCCGGATAAAAGGAGCCGTACGCACAACTCCTGAGATGGCGAAGCCGCCAAAGCAATTGGGAATCACTGATTTGCAAACTGCATAGTGAATTTTTTTTAATCAATTCCTCGCCAAGTCGAATTTTGTGCTATTACTATTAATGAATCAATTTTATTAGTATCGACTATTCAGTGTTGGGCTCGGGGGGGGAAGGCCAACCTCAATCTTTAATCGTGATAAATAAGCAAAGTTCCAAGGCTAAATTTCCAGTGAATATTGTGACATTACCAATTGCCATACATTAAATTTTCATTATTTATTGAATGTAATGACCACTCGAATAAAAAATTGGCCTATCAATCATTGTTCCTAACTTTTATGATTTTTTTTTCCTGAGGCTTCAATTTGAGTGTGAAGAAGGCTAGCCGCTAGAGTAGATGCAGACAGATCTCTACTACTTTAGTCTACTTATAATTTCAAATTGTGATGAAAATCTAGGAGGCTAGGTGAATCTCTTGTATCATCAGTATTTATTAGATATATTCATCTTCACTTCATCTAAACTATACCAATAATACCATGGATGTGGAACTGGGAACATAAGATAAGGCTATCAATGAATGAGATTTGCTCTTTGTTATGGCATTTTGATCAAGCTGAATATTCTATTTTACATTAAGTACATTTACTAAGTTTACATTAAGTCTGATAGTCAGAGATTGTTGTGATTTGTCAAATTTGACATGTTCTTACCAAATACCAGTACCAATATATTTTTCTATATCACCTATAATTCTATAAAATGAACTTTTTTAACATGTAGTTTCTGGGTGCTGGGCAAAACTTTCTAATATTTTAAATAGGTGTCCATGATTATTGAATACCACTTTGAGTTCAAGTGAATAATTTTTCTGGATCCATTAGTTAATGCTCCTATAAACCAAAAGCAGGCAGGCAAAAGAAGATGATAAAAAAAATACATTTCTTGAGGTAGAAGTCACACACTATTTGAACTAAATAAATTTAGATTTATGAGTTTCAAATTATCATATAGCAGTTTGTTAGAGTATGCCAATATTTCAGTGTGCACATTCTTCCAAAATTTTGCATACTATTTGTATTTCATTTGTACTATTTGTATTTCATTATCTGCATCCATTTCCCACAGATCATTATTCTAAATTATCCTCAATTATGGAGATTTTTTTGGCATATGAGTATCAACAAGCCTTAAGAAGAGAGAGGGTGTACTGAGACCAATTAGATTTATTGCAAGTGAGTGATGAAGAACTTATCAAGAATTATAGGTTTCCCCGTCATGAGATCATCAATATGATTCAAGAATTTGAGCCGCAGCTAAAGAGAAACACCTCAAGATCTCATGCTATATCTGTATGCACCCAAATTTTAGTTGCTCTTCGTTTCTATGCAAGTGGGTCTTTTCAGAATATTGTTGCTGACAGCAGTGGCCTTTCACAACAAAGCGTGAGCAAAATAATCACATCTGTGTCAAACATTCTAGCAGAAAGAGCTAGAAATGAAATCAAAATGCCTGCTGATATACTTCAGCTCCAGCAGACAATGAGAGATTTTCACGCAATTGCTGGCTTTCCAAGAGTCATTGGAGCCATAGATGGTTCTCATATACCAATCAAGGCACCTACTGAAGATGAAGAAATCTATGTGAACAGGAAGAAATTCCATTCAATCAATATTCAAGTGGTATGTGATGCTCAGAGAGTAATTATCAACTATGATGTCAAGTACCCTGGCAGCACACATGATGCTTACATCTGGAACCGCAGCACACTCCGAACAAGATTTCAACATGGTGAATTCAGAGATGGAATACTTTTGGGTAAGTCGAATTCATATTCTGTATTATATAGTAAATAATCATTTAATCTAATACTTGAATATTAATTTTAACACAAGCTGGTTTGAGCTAGTGTTGCTACAGTTTTAAAAAGTGTGAAAGTGAACTTTTTATGATGAAATTCTGTGCTCTAAAGGCATTTATACTTATTTTGAGTGGCATTTTTGGCATGTGAATTCTTTTATATAAAAGAATAAAAAATTTTTTCCTGCTATGGAAATTATTATTAATTACATATAGACATTAAAACCAAATAGAACCACCAACAGTCCATTTTCTCTGTGTCAAAAGCATAAATTCATGCTCATTTGAGCTAATTCACCAATTGAAATTAATTCATTTGTGATTTTATGCTGTGTTTCCTGAAAAAAATATATTTAAATATTATTTTTGAATGCATTTTGGTTACCTCTTAATGAATTTGAAAATTTCTGCATGAAAAAAAAAACTTTGAACAAGCAAATCATTTGTTAGGTACATATGATTTGCTTTGTGTTATTCTTTACAGGAGACAGTGGTTATCCCCTTGAACCATCATTGATGACACCATTTGCAAACCCTGCATCGCCAGCTGAGGAAGAGTTTAATAGGTGTCACACCAGAACCCGAACAATCATTGAACAAACATTTGGAGTCTTGAAGTCCAGATTTAGGTGTCTGCACAAATCAGGTAAGTATCCATTAATTGCAATTTAATTTAAAAAATGCTATGACATTTTGAATGACCATTAAACCTTGTGAAATATAATAACCTTTAGAACATGCCTACCTAAACAATATGTTAAGGTATAGGATCATCATTTACATTTCCTACCCAAGTCTAAAAATCTTTATTTGTGCTGCATACCTTGAGTAGGTATCTAATAATCAGCTGTCCTCCCTATATACCCCATCAGGAGGAAACCTTCAATATGATCCTCTAAAATGTGCCAAGATTACTGCAGCCTGTTTGCTACTCCATAACCGATGCATCAAGCGAAGAATCTGTTGTAAGCGAAAGCCGAGGTAACTCAACATGAGCTTTATTCAACAAGAACGCAACATCCTGGAACAAAATAACACTACTATAAAACAGGAAAACGGTAACGTAATAAGAATATATTCATATGTGAAGGTCTTACACATAACGAAACTATTTACAGATTACTTACAAGGAGAACAGTAGTTGTAGGTCTTGAACGTACAAGAGCCGAGTCAATGCTAACAATGGTCATTAGTTCTAGAGCGAAGTTACTTACTAATAGGAACTATAGTACGGAATACTAGGTACATGCGGGCGCTACAACAGTAATTTCATGACATTCTTCCCGCCTGAAAAATGTAAGCCAAATGTAGTCGGTTTATTATGGACACATGAACGAATTGATCATATTGCGAAGCAGGATACATAGGAGAACAATCAAACTACAGTAAAGGCAAACGAAACAGGATATACGTCCGCCAACGAAGCTAGTTATTCAAAACCGTATCGCTTTGGAGGCTTGGACGGACGAGAAGATCTCCTTAAAGTTACCGAGGGTACCGATTGTTCATTTCCTTCGACTGAATCTGTTACAGTTGGGACCACCTCTCCTTCAGAATCCCTCTTGATGCGGTCCGCTTCTGGGGAAGCATTCTCTGTCGACGTTTCGGGTTCTTGCAAATCTGGCTGTGTACTTTGTGGACATGGAGAAAAAAATTCGAATTGATATCTTTTAACTTAGGTTAAGAATTGAATCAGGGAACCAGTATCAATGACATATTTTTCAATATGAAAAATGCACAGATGGTGAAAGGTTTCTCTGTATGTATATGTTTTTGTGTGCATTATTTCTTTTTGAACATAACCACCTACCAATCAGTTTAAGTTGAAATATAAGGATTATTATAGAATTAAAGACTATGTTTGAAGTCATGCAGGAAAAAAGCTATGTGGTTTTTGGAAATGAAGGGATATTTATTAATTAATTTTATTTGCATATAGGATTTGAGGCAAATGGATATGAGAAAATGCAAAATTATTTAGGCTCTGGCAGTTTTTGGCTCATTCTAGGATGGGTTTTGCTATGCTCTTCTTTTTTGGGTAGAGACTAGAAAAGTAATTTTTGCAAGGGAATATCAAGAAATGTAGAATTATATATTGGCTTTCAGTGAACATGAAAGGATTGAAATGAACCCTGCTGTCAATAAAATCATCTCTCTTTGCAAATCCAAACTTTACCATTAAAATGATGAATAGAAATTAAAGTACAGCCTGTAAATTCACTTTGGTGCTTGGAATTCATTATAGATATATATATAAATTATAAAAATGGGCAATAGATATTTATAGGTAGGTAAAAAGTTGGTAATTGAAATGAGCATTAAATGACCCAAGAAAAACACTTACCAGTTGTTCCAGTATATTTATTTTCTACTGCCACTTTCTTCTTCAAATGTGTTCTCAAGTCGTAAAACTTTTTGCGTACTTCAGCCACATCTCTCTTCACAATTGATACACAGTTTACACTATCAGCCACTGCTTGCCACTGCATCAGCTTAACTTTTGCGGTTATATTCTCATTAAACTTGCCCAAGAGAATCTCTTTCCTTTCAAAAACTGCAGTTACTATTGCCAAAATTTCATCATCACTGAAATTTGGTCGTCTTCTTTTTTGGTCCATTTTTCAAACTTCAAACCTGTCCCTTGAAATTCACACTTTTAATTTTAAATTTGGTTTATTTTTATCAAGAATTGTCAATGATTCAAGTGTTTTGCCCAAAGTTTAAGCTAATAACTTTTCTAGATTAAACTATGTTATTGCAATTTAGCCTGTGAATTCTGCGAGAATAGTTCAAGTTGATTTAATCATTGAGAAACGTTGCACACGAGTAATTCACTCATTGCATATAATAAACTATCAGTTGAAATAAAAATTAATATTAGAAATTTTGAAAATGCATTAATTATAATAAAAATTATAATAAATCATAATACTTTATCTGCTAAAAACATATTTTTAAAAATTATGGTTATAAAGTAAACTTTCATCTATAAGACATAGGTAACTACTTAGCAGCTTTGCAGGAAATTTTGCAGCCAGGCTGCCAGCAGCCTGCATCTACACTGCTACAGCACTAAACTTGCTACAATGCTACTCATCAATAACTACCATATAAAACTTTTCAATCATAATTTGTAAGGTTCAATCGCCACATACAAACTAATTAGAATTTGCTAATAATGCAAAAAAGTTTTGGCATTGGTTTTGTTCTGTTAATGATGCAGTAGCAAAGTTTAGTTGGTGTAAAAAAAAACAAGTTATTTGCCACTTCGTTATGTCTATATTATTTTCAATCTACAGAGTACAGATAAGAATAACATATTATTTTAGTGGAAAAGTATATACTTTTTATTTTAAACCAAGTTAAAAAAAATCACTTTTTCCACATACATTGCTTGCGGTTGCAGATTAAATAAACCATTTAGTATCAAGAAAACACTTTTGCAATGCTGATAGCTGCTTAGAAATTTTTGGAACTAATTTTCAAACCTAATTAGTACATGAAATAAATCCAATTCTTAGTCATGAGCAAATTATCTGTGGTCAAAACTCGCAAGTCACAAATCACAAGTGTCAAGTGATACGCAGTAACTAGGCAAGGCAACCTGTCCCTCTCATGTGGATCTTCAGAAAATTATAGTTAGACACTAGACAGTTCATAAAGTAAAAGTCACATGAAAATTATTATTTCGCTATGCAACCAAGGGATTCATCGATGCTAAATTTGAGCAATGTTGTCAAAATGTTACTACAAGTGATAAAAATTGTGAAATCACGATACACCGATGATGCACGTAAGACGACTAAAAAGTAAACAAAACCGAGCACGCTGATTGGCTACTTGCCGGAGCGTTTCGAAAGTACCAACTTAGTTACGTATTGCGTACAAAAGTTTTGAAAGTGCCAAAAATAGCTGTGCGTACGCATGACGTAACTTCTTGTACGTAAGCATAAGAAGTTACGTTCACTTAGCGATGTTTTGAAAGTACCTGCCCAGCCATTGATGACATGAGCTAAAGGCTGATGAATTTATGGAAGGCTTTTCAGCCCACAGGCCTCGTAGTCGTCGTATAAATCATTGCAGCCCCGACGTATCAAATGTTTTATCGATCATCATAACTTACTGCCAATCCAAAGCCAACGCTCGGCTTATATTTCTTTATAAATCATTACGAAATCGTGTCGGTGTCACAGAAAGTTTGATAACGAAGTTACATATTTGTATTTGTAATAAAAAATTTAAAACGTTTAAAATTTTTTTCTCAGGCTAACGAACGATCAGAAATCTATGCTAAGTAGTTGAATGAATTTGGGTCAAAATTCAGAACAGTATTCATTAGTTAATTCATCAATTGGATCAATGGAGAATTTATTTTTCAATTAAAAGTTGTTGATCCATCATTCCATCAATTCAAAGTCGGGATATGGTATTGCGCTTCATATATAGTGAATATAGCAAAATTATTAGGTTATGTTATATTATATCATATTAAATTATATTATATTATACCATATTATATTTTATTATATTATAATGCGCTAAATGATGCTCGATTACGGTGAAGTATGTTATTTAAAAGCATCAAGGTTCCAACGCAAATTCAGCCGAGGTTGCCCTGTGTCGATCGGTCGCTTATGACAGAGAACGAGTGTTGTAACAATTTTTTCCAGGATTAATTAATGCTTCCCAAAAACCTCATGACCAGCGGTGACTGCTATTCCTTCACTAAAAATTTTAGATCAAGAGACTAATCATTATTTAGCGAAGTGTATCAACGTTATCTTTGGATGCGCGTCGGGTATTTTAGCTACAGCCGTGGAGGAGAAATTAATTGGCAAGTCAGCTAATAAGCATCCCTCATATCAGTTTCGGTCAATTTATAACTTTACTGACGTTTGTCTTTAGAATAAGAATTTGTGCTCCAATTTTGAATTCATTATTGTTTCACTACTGCTTCTGTAATGGACGGCGGAGGCAAAAAATTTCGCGAGCTCTCGAGCAATAATAGAACTCAAAACAAGGCGTATCAATATGATATGGGAATGTCAAGAAGGTTCTTATATACGGTTGAGCAATATTTTATGCAGTTGTTATATGCGAACAGCCCCACCACTATGGATGAATTCTTCTTATTTAAAATCATTTCATATAATGGTTTTGCATATTCCCGCGAAAGTAATAAGATGATTCGAGACTTTAAATCGGATCTATTGATGTTGAGTTTCGCACATAAAAATAATACGGTTTTGTAATACGAGATAAAAAGGTAAACGTGGTATTCAACAATATGATGCAAGAATATTACATACAAAACAACAGACTATTTAGTCAGCTCATCATCGGAGGAACTTCGTAATTTTCGAATTACGAAGCAAGGAAACGAATAGCGAATTCCAAGATTATGTACGGTCGTGGGTCTATAAACGTTCAATCTACCGAATGATTTTGGCTCCTGACTACATCTCCTATTCCTCATAATATTATATAATCATAACTCCTTTAACCGATTTCCTCATAATTTCAACAATTTAACTCTTCATTCATTGCACAATACACTGGGCATTAAAAACCTCAAGTTAGTTGATTAGATATTAAATCGAATTTATCTTTATTTCTGAAAAGACCGCCTATCCATTTTGACAGTCATATGTTTTATTAACCTTACAAAAGTTATTTCTTTCCAGTGTCAACTTTGGCTTATGAAGTGGACGTGCTTTTTTGCCCCTATTGCGACCATAATGCTTATACGTCACGACTACGTGTTCTGGCGTCACAGCCCCAGGCCGGAGACCCAGACCGAGAGCCCTTAAACTTAGCCGCGATTGAAACGAGCCAATCTTGTTGAAAACCAATTTTACTTCAGCGCTACTGTTACCATGAAGAAGGGCAGTTTGCCGCGTTTTCAACGGAATTTCTCAATTAATGAACCCTTAAAATGCTTCCTAGTTGTTTTTCGATGCGCCGTTGCTGCCTCCCGACGAATTTCCTTGTTGCGTTCGTTAATTAAATGAACTTAGATATAGATCTTCCAAATCATAGATAGAGCTTCCCTCAGATGGAGCTTCCCTCAGATGAGCTTCCTAAAATGAACGCGAGATTTTTTGGATGCTCTATCTGCATTAAAACTATTCGTGGAAACTAAGAATTCAATGTGTTGAAATTCAATGATGAAGATATAAAGCCTTAAATCTTGAGTTTGTTTGTGATCATTGAACCCCATGTCAAATATCGAGGTGCTTTGAGTACACCAATTTATCCTTAGTGATAGTATACAGGATTTTTTTTAGATGAGAATTAAATTTCATTTCTAATAATAATTTTTATAATGCTAGACGATATACATGAATATCTCCCCAGATGGAAAAATCAATCAGATGAGAGTCTCCACCATGACCAAGTTTGAGACTCAAATGCGCCAGGCAATAGTCCTTATCAAGTCAGCTGTGGCCTTGAACCCGTCCACGGTCAGGTACATGAATGTAGCGGTGTCAAGATTTAACGTATCCATAAATCTGACGTGTGTGTGTTTGTGTATTTGTGTGCATGATATCGAGGCCAGCCGTGGCGGCTCACTTCAAGGCCACGTGGTTCAAGATATTGGTTGCAGTTATGACTTATATTGATTAGAGAAGGAAATTCGGATTCTTTTTTGAATAATGATAAGGGGCATGAAATTAAGGTTTCATCGAGATTGCATTTAGGAAAATAGCAAGATGAATAAATTTTTTACCAAACTTTTTAGCCTGGGTAGAATTTAAGGGGAAACGCTCCTTAAACCAACGCTCCGCCTATCAACAACCTCTTCGATGTTGTTGATAGAGAAGCCGATGAGTCCGCAGGAGGGAGGGAGTCAGACCGAGGCATTATACTAGTGGCGTGCCAAGCAGTGACCAGCGAGGCCGAGATGTAGGGTTTTAATGTAGTGGGCCAACGCTCTGCACGCCAGTACAATACACGAAAGGTCATCGAAGTGAAGGGCATCTTGAGAACGTATTTTTTATGATATCGGGACGGTGTCATAGGTTGAGCGAAGATTCAAGAGCAAAATTTTGCATCTGGCCGAACTACCAAATAGCGACGCACGCCAAATTGGAGAGACTAGACCAAAATTAGTAAATTGAAATTAGTCAATTGGTTAAACCAAAATTAGTCAATTGTATAATTAGAAGAGAAAGCCAGTCTTCTATAAATTTAATTAATTAATTAAATTGGAGCTTCGACTCAATTTCGTCAGGTTGATTAGACATCGAGCTGGTCTATTCGGCTGCGCTGCAAGTTCTAATGCAATTGTCCAGTGACGGATTAACAACCGGAGGAGGCACAGGGAAACACAGAAAAGATCTTAAGTGTGATTATGCAAGGTAAAGTAGAGACAAACGGGTGGAGAAATTCTGGAGTAAGTCTCCAGGACCCGTCCAGCGTGAAGCTCCGGGCTGACATCAGGCTGGACACTCGTTCAAGGGTGCTTGGATCCTCGGTTAGGTACTCGCGTGAAGTAGTAGTCACAGTAAGGCCCGTGCGCGGAATAGATTCATCGTAACTATGCGTCCTTTCGATGGCTCGGCTATGCTTAGTCTGCTTAAACTTGCTAGTCTTCTGTAGACTTCGTGTCGGAATTCGAGGGAACATTAGATCTTGCTCAAAGAACAGGTCCAATTGTGGTCGTTGGGTTGCTAAAAAAGTTCTTCTGGCGTTGGAGTTGAGCAATAGCTAGTGAATTGCGAGGTTGAAGGCTCTTTCGACGTGTGCCTCTATTTCATAATTCGGCCAGATGCAGACTCACATAATACGTTCTCACGATGCTCTTCTCTTCGATGGCCACCCGTATGGTGTACCCCCGCAAAGCACGTTGGCCCAATACACCAAAACCCCAGCTCTAGTTTGCTGGTCACTGTCTGACTCGCGCCCAAACACTCTGATCGAAGGCCCCAGCCTCTCTGACTCCCGGTCTCTCAGTGACCCAGTCTCCCGCCTGTGGACATACAGGGTACAGGCATATGCCTCAGAAACCCACAAATGGAACACTGCTCCTTAAGTTTACCCTAAGCTATTGAGTCTAACACATGATTTATTTATCTTCCTATTTTCCTAAGTGTAATCTCAAGAGAACCTGAATTCCCTACTTATCATCATTTAAAAAAAGCTGACTTTAATACTCTAATCAACGTAACGACCACGTGATTTGAGCAATTGTTCCGACATAAACGATCATGTAAGCTTCGTCATTGTGAATGAATTAACGCTCCTGTTTTGTAGCCTTGACTTTCGCCTGCAAAGCATATTTTTAAACACATGCGAGACATTTGGCTTAACATTTAAATTGTATTTAATGGAGAAAATCCTTAAAACTTTCTCGAATTGAGATTCATTGCGTCTTTTTAAATGTTTCTCTAGTTCGACAATATCCAAGAAATATAATCGGTCAACGCAATTTTAAACAGCTTTCGTCAAGTTGAGTGTAACTGGTAGCTGAGCATGATTTTATTGCTGAAGCTCATTTCACTATTTTTTCAGCTACGAGCTCACCAGTAAATCAAATGATGATATAATGAAATGATGCTTAGCTTAATAACACTTTTTCCTTATTAGGTTCGTCCTCTTGGGAAATGATGAAACTGTTCTACCTGCAATTGAAGAATACGTGTCAAATTGGCCAGATCGTTTTCGGAATCGTCTAAAGTTGAGTTATCGGCCTGTCATTATGCCAGAAGAATGGCATTTAATGGATTTCTACGAGAAATGTGTCACCGAAAAGTTGTTCCTGCCGTGGGTGCTGTCTGATTTTGACTCCGTCGTGTATCTGGATACCGACCACGTGTTCATGAGACCTCCGGAGCATCTGTTAGCGCACTTCAAAAACTTCGATGACACCCAAGTGCTTGGAGTCGCACCTGTAGATGGTTACTATTTGCAGTCCAATATAGAGGTAAAAACCACACAATCTAATAGTTAAGTACTTCAGAATAATGCCTGAAGATTCCTCAGAACAAGCAACATTCTCGATTCCTTGAAACAAACCATATTCTCCCACTGAATAATATTTGAAATGCATCAACTAGGCTTCCAAAAAGACAAATGTTAGATCAATTACTCAATATTGCGTATTACTCTTCTTGAAATATCAATATCTACTGAATATATGGACTAGTAATTCGAAACAGTTGTTGATTATGCGAGTTAGAAGAAAAAGATTAGGCATAAACTTGAAGGCGCCTTCGCAATATTTTAAAGCCATCATTAATGCTAAAAAATTTCAGGTTGGAACCTCGCATAGACCTCATTGCTAAAATATCTTACATGTGCAGATACCATACTACGGGAGGCAAGGCTTAAGCAGCGCGCTATTGCTAGCCAATCTTACAAGGTGGCGTGACCTGCCTGTCGACTGGCTGCCCATCGTGACAAGTGTGGCCAAAGTTTATAAGGACAGCATAGTGAGCGATCAAGATATATTTAACCTCGTTTTCAGTGAGGTATGAAAAATCATATTCAATATCTCTTTTTCCTCAACAAAGTAAGTACCAATTATAATTTCATTTTCTCATCGCTGAAGTTTCAGCTCTTCTGCCAACAGCGTTATATATGTTGCATATACAGCGCTCCACAACCCTAGTCTTAACTAATGCTACTAACACTTTAGTTCCCCCATAATGCCCCCACAGCCCTTTAGTCTACTTGCAGTTTAAAATGAGCCGCCACAAATTTTTTCTGCTGTGAACTCAGTCAAGATCCTAAATTTGCTTGAATAGATAACACTCGTCCGTGTATCGCGTATATTATCGAATCTGCTCCGTACTGTATATTTATTCGTCTCTTTATGAGTATTCAGCATGAATTGAAAGCAGCAACATGAGAAATGCTCGTTTAGAATATAAAGCTAAAATAGAAAATAGGCATTTTTACGCGTAACTGTGGAAACGACAACGTTAAAACCGGAACTGGGAGAGCTTGTGTCCTGTTTATGGGTTTCTAAGATAGGGATATAATGACCACATAATTTTAGTTTACCATCCGATACTGATACTTTGGTTATTTTTTTACAACACCTTGTATGCAGATTGCATTTAAGGGGAGCGTCTACCCTAAAATTGAAAATTTTCAATTTTTCGGTTTTTATACTCATTTTAAAACTGACATTCTGCCCTATCCAACGGTACCACTGCCATATCTGTACGTTGATTTATGATTTCACGACATTTCATGAAAGGGGGACGGGTGGGGGAGTTCTTTAAGTAATTAGATAGGAACTAATTAGCTGCTGAGCTCTTTAAATATAGTGTCTACTTTAGTTGTGCTGCAGTTACGTGTTTAGTCTCATCTTAAAGCTGACATTATGGCCTATCCAACGGTACCATTACCATCTCTGTACGTTGATTTGTACGTTCACGACACTTCATGAAAGGGGGGCGGGGGGAGAGTTCTTTCAGTAATTACGTAGGAGCTAATTCGCTGCCCAGCACTACAAATACAGTGTTTCTATGAGGTGTAGTTCAGTGTGCCTCCGGGCTTTGTAGGGAGAGGTGCGCATGTAGTCGCTCCCACCATCCTTGAGTGGAATCAAGCACCAGAAACGTTTAGTTTGGTATCTATGCTACATTGAGCGCCTATTGCAGTGCGCTCGGGACTTTGTCGCGCTCTCCTCAACATTCACACTTATTGTCACGGAAAACCTATCTCCTCCTAGAGTTTTGAAGCTACAACAATGACACATATATCATTCAATTTGCAAATAAACTATCTACAAAATGTTCATCCCGGTTTTTCTAGTTTCATTATAGTTTGAATTTTATTCTGCAAAAAGAGGGGGGTGGCGGGGGGAAAATCGAAAAATATCCGAACATTTTGGAAAAATGCCCCCCACTTCCACAAAAATTAAAATTTCAAAAAAAAGGGATGAACATTTTGTAGATGAAGACCTCACGCATCGAATGATATGTGTCTCGATGTTGTAGCTTGGAAATCCTAGGACTAGATTCATTTCTACAGTACCCCCTTTTATAGCCGTTTTCTAAGAATTTCACGTTTTCTTTCATTTTTTTTGAAAAATGTACACGAACAAAATGCGAGTTTTTTTCCATTTTACATATGTGTACCAAGTTTCAGAGTGATCCGACTGTAAATAGCCGAAATAATTTTTAGGGTAGACGCTCCCCTTAAATTTACAGCCCAAATTAGCATCATTAGCGGTAGGGAAAAAGGCTCTATACAGTTCATCAAATGCCAAAACATAACCTGATCAAAATTAATGCAGCCCCGCAATGAACTCTAGCATCGTCTTAAATCCCCCATTACAGCATCGTCTTAAATCCCCCATTACAGCATCGTCTCACATCCCCCATTGCAGCATCGACTTACATCCTCCATTACAGCATCGTCTTAAATCCCCCATTACAGCATCGTCTCACATCCCCCATTGCAGCATCGACTTACATCCTCCATTACAGCATCGTCTTACATCCCCCATTACAGCATCGTCTTACATCCTCCATTACAGCATCGTCTTACATCCCCCATTACAGCATCGTCTTACATCCCCCATTACATCCTTATCCCTCCATCCTCGTCTTTCATCCGTGATACTAAAGCAACCACTCCTACCACAGCTGTGTTCTGATGTGTTGTGCGCCTGGCGGCTTTTCGTTTTTGCCTCAAAGTAGTCACATAGATCTCTATTGTCAGTGAAAAACTTGGTTAAGTAGAAATTCCATCCAGTAGTTTCTTTTTCGCGGAATTCGGGGTGAAATTGAAAAATTTAATCTCTGCACAGTACATTCGACTATAGTACTATACATTCAAATATAAAATTACATTTATTCTGCATGACCGCAATAAAAAATGTGGACATCAATGCTCAACATCTAAAAGAACATTAATATCTCCATTTAATGATGAGATTACCAAAGAATTAATTAATATATTATAATAATTATCGAAACGATAATAATAGTTAAATTGTTAATTTATCAAGATTTATTGATAAGATATGATATAATAATCAGTTTATTAATAATAATTATTATATAATAGGAAATTTTAAACTAAATTATAATATTAATAATAACGATTTTGCATCAATTAATGCAAAAACATCAGCTATTTGGAAGGAGGACATCTAGTTGAATGCGTGGAAGAATGGGTATTTTACATATCAGATATTTAGGTGACAAAACTAAAAAAGCGTTCAATTTGTTCCGATCGTTCCTCAGCAGATAATATGTGATTGAAGGTCTGTGATTGGCTGGCGTAATTGCGAACTCGTAACTTTTTTTGATATTATGAATTTTTCTCGTCAGTTTCCAGACTACATCTACGACCTGAGCTGTGACTGGAGTGGCAGCATCGAGCAGTGCTTGTCAGTGAACTGGAACTGCAGCTCCATCGAACAAACAGGCTTTTCGTTGGTGCACGGTGCAAGATCAAGATTTTTTGCAGAAGACGTTTGGAGAATGAGAACTATTTCCTATGGATTGAAATACGTCATCCCTATGGAGGTATTTAATTTTTTCTGTGTTAAATTTAGGATGAAGAGTCATTTAGTTTAGATCAGAAGTAATTGCGTATAATTTTGTCTGATTATTTGGATGCCTTCACTGATAACAATGATTATATATACGCTATAGTTTATAGAGTAACACGCTTTGTTACCCCACCGCACGAGCAGAGAGCGGACGGATGACCCACTCACAGTTATAAGGTGCATCGATATTCAGACAAAATCTAAACTATTTCTCTGAGTGTTTATTTGTATATTTCACTTAGATCTTACAGACATTCTTAAGCCTAATAGAGGTGTCTATACAAGCATCCCACTGTATTTATCTCATATATTTGATTGTGGAAATAATTTTAGTGGCATGAGATTAATTACTAATATAATTTCTTAAATTCCATCTATGAAAAAGCTTGCACCCAGGAAAATAAGTATGTCACTATATGGGCCGAGTGCTAAGTAGCTGGTTTTTATAATGTGGCGCTGAGACGACGCTCTGATAGCGACTTATTTATTCAGCCGAATAGTTAGAAAACTCGCAAATTTTCAACATTTTTTCCGTAATACCTAGTGCGCGAGAAATTTTTTTTAGAATTTTTATTGAAAATTAGTAGAAATCTTCGAATACATTCTAAACTCTACATTGAACTTTCTGAAGTTTTCTTTTCATGTTTAAATTATTTCTGTATTTTAATTGCCTTCAATCAAGCTCCGCTATGGAGAATTGCATCTTATGAAGTATTCAAACTGAATTTAGGCTTCGTTTATATATGACTAATTACTTTCAATTGACTCCGCGCAGGAGATTTTCACTACATGGGAGAGGTACGACTTAACTGAGCCCTTGTCAGTATTACTTCAAACCTTGACCAAAAACCTCCACACACGGGAAGATGAACTGCGGAAAGCACAGGCGAGCCATAAAGAAAATCTGTTTTGCCTCTACAGTTTCGAGAAGCTCCTGAAACAATTGAACGATCTCGTGCAGATAAAAAAATAATACCAAATGTTGATCATATTAGTAGTCAAATTTGCCTAAGGCATCTTGGTCTTTTAAACGTATAATCCAAGAAAAAAATTTGGGTCAAACAAAATGAAAAATTTGATCTTACAAACGACGTTGAAACAGCGTATTTTCAACGCTGATTAAACCATACTTATTCGAACACAAGAGACGGTCTAAAAAGTTCTTAAATCCGTTTTCCAGTATTATAAGCATTTTGTTTATACAAGTGAAATGAATTAAAATCACCCATAAATCAAAGTGATTAATCCGTTTCATTCATTCGTTCCTTTTAGTCAAAACTTTGTTTTAAAGAGGCTTTCACTAGCTATAGAGTAATAGAAAAATACTCAAAAGAGCTTCCAGTTTGGCCAGGTTCCTTTTCTGATGCCTCACTGGTGCTTAGTTCTATGGTAGTCATCTGGATTTCTGGAGAAATAGAGCTTTGTTATAAAGTAGAAACAAATTCATGCAAAGAGCTCTAGAATTTTTCAAAATGGAAAATTGTTAGTATTATTGTGTGATAGTCTAAACTTACAATTCAAAAATTAACTCCAACGCATCATCGAATGTAGCACATCTATAAAATTTCAGCTCCGTGCAACATGAATACAAATTATCCGCATTTATGAATAATATGATTTATTCATCTATAATATATCATATAATATATTTTAGTTTACATATTCGAGTAAATTGAGTAACTAAAAATACTACTTTAATAAGACAATTGCACCATTACTTTTTGATAATTAAAAAAAATAATTTGTAAAAAATTTCACAGCAAGTAATTTTAAAATTAAATAAATTTTAATTAGTTGACGTTTGAGCAATTTTCTTGACAGTAGGTCACATGATGAATACTCCATGTTCTGTAGGTAGTCTTCAGGAACATCAATTGGTTCGCCAAAGAGATGATTTCTCCTGCGTTCGGCCAGTAACACATAATCGATTTAACGCGGCCCTTATTTCTGAATAACCAATGTTTAGGCACTACTTGTCACAATTGGTTTGTGAAATGAACAAACAAATAACAACATCACACAGCTATGAGGCACTGTTGCCAGTCTTTGAAGTGAACATAGCGGCCACAATGCATGTCTTAAGGTGCTTGTACACGGGGATAGTGCAGACGGCTAGTAAATCTGGCTAGTGTCGGGCTTGGTGACTATCCGGCAAGTAAGCCTGTACACACGAGGAGAGTATAAGGTGCCGCTATCTTCTCTTTCGCGCCCGCCAGTGCGTCATTAGAAGCCGTCGAGCGAGGTCTGCGAAGATGGTTAGTGGATCACCTTCAACAACTCGATTCTGTACGTCGTTTTTATACTATTTATTCTAGCCCTTGAAAATGCAGCGTCGGGAACAACTAAACCCTGACTAATAAGGTCTTCTTTCCGTTTCAAAATACTCGTTTCTCCCTTCATTTTGTTGGAGTAACCATCATGGAAAACATTATACTTTAATTCATATCTTTGGAATATTTCAAAAATAATTGAATATCGTATGGAATCCACTTAGTTTGTTTCTTCTTAGAAACATTATCGTTCAAACAAGCCATGATTCACTTGACCCAAGATACTTCGCAAGAGCGGCGCAGATGCTCTCACCATGGCTGCATCAGCGCTACTAGCCACTTCTCCAGCCAAGATATCAACACATCGTTGTCCCGCTCGACCGCATCTCGGGCACTTGCCGGCGCATGCCTCTGAAGCGGCTAAACCCCTATACACGAGGCTAGTAGCGTGGACAGTTCATGCGCCGGATGAACTAGCGGCTAGTACTATCCCTGTGTACAGGCACCTTTACTGTCTTACAGAGATACATAGCGGCCACAAGCCACAGTCTTATAGATGCTCCAGAGGCTGATAGACAAAAGTTCCAATGTCTAATGTTAGGTATTCTCTAGGTTTAGGGTAAGAACAGCTTCTACTTTATCGTCTGGCGTTAAGTTAGCAATGTCCCCATCATTTGATTCTAACTCACTGATACTTTCGCAGGAACCTGCTTCTCAACTTTCTGTATCACTCGACAGTTCACCATCACCTGCTATACGTTCATCAAAATTCTCATTGGTCGACGAACTAATCTCCTGGGTCACAACTAATGTTAGCACTAATAGATACACATTTCACAGGGTTCATCTGCAGATTTATGAACGATTGACTGCAGATTGATTGAAGTTTTCGTTTCTCCATTGCACGGGAACTTGAACTCAGCGGCACCTTAAACACCAAGAGAAGGAAATGTGCGACGTTGCAAGGCTATTTTTCCGGGAACGCAGAATTTTACCCGATTCCAAGAAATTTACACTTGAAATATTACTCATTTAATTGATCATATGCTCTGTAGTTTCATGGAAAATCATTAAATCGGATTTCCAAAATGTAATTGATGATGCGACGCGCTTTTGACTCAATTATTATTTGATTTGAACTGGTTTGATTAAATAATTGGGATTTAGGGGAACTTCAAAAATAAGCTTTTTTTACCCCAGACCGTTGCAAATTCGTTTCTTAATCTTCAAGATGAAAACACAGTAACAATGTTAGAATTGGTAGCATAATTTTGAGATAATTGGTCAATCAATGTTAGACAATTAATAAAGTTGCTACACAATTGAAGTCATAAGTTCTATCAGATCATTAACGATCTATAATTCGCGCTCGGGTACAAAAAATGCAGCAAAAACGATTACCCAAAGGCACCAGCATACATGCCGTCCACTATCGGCAATGTATCTTAGATAATTAGCATAATATATATTTACATATATTGAGTATTTGAAGTTTGACACCTCCATATCTTGAAATCATCTTGAAAGTTACTATCTGCATCTATAGCTATCTGCAACTCCCTGCCTTGGCTACCCTCGCAGCCCGTTGCCCTGCCGTGTCTCGCGGTTGGAATTTTTCTTTATATTAGGTAGTTCTGGTACAGCGCAGTTTTAGAGCTAGATGGCCAGTTATAGTTTCACGGCTCCAGCCTGCTAAAGCACAACCAGCCCGGCAAAACCCGGCGCCGGTCTCGGCTCAAAATTTTAACTGGGTATATATGAACTGGCAGTCAAGTATTTCCGTCTCAGGGCCAAAAAAGGTACATGGGCCTCAATCGCAAGTGAAATTACTGGTGTAGTACGACGAGCGCCCAGAACAAGTCTCCGACAAGCATTTTGAAGTATGTCTAATTTTGATAATAGTGCAGAGGATGCAGCCTGATAAAGGACACACCCATAGTCTATTTTAGTTCTGATACAAGCACAGTAAAAAAGACTGAGGAATCGACAACTGACGCCCCAGTTAAGTGATGTCAAGTGTTCAAAGAAGTCCATACGGCGAATCGTATCTGTGCAAAGATGGCACAAATGTGACCCCCACTTGAAGCGAGGAGCATCCAATATCATTCCTAGTAACTTATGCTGTCGTTCATATCTACGTAGTTGTTGACCATATATCAAAACTGGCACATGCACACGCTTATGAGTGAAATATTAAAAGACAGTTTTGTGTGCACTTAATACTAACCCCCAAGTTGTGCAGTATGCCTTAAATATGTTCACGTATTGCTGAGTGAGAGACTTGGCTGCCCCTCTCGTTGTGCCCCGGACACAAAGTGTTCTGTCATCAGCATATAATAGCACATTGACCCGAGAAGGGGAACGTTTTATTTTGTTGAGGAACGCTTAGTAAAACCAAAAAGACGTCTGTGTTGCAAATGTACACAGACTTCAGTACGTCTGTGTGGAAGAATACGTGCCGTAAAGTTCCGGCGTACAATTGAGTAAAAGCCGAATGACTATAAGTGGGTACTCTCAATTAATTAAGGGCACTAGAGTGCTTTTCTGGAAGAAACTTCAAGGATACTTCAAGCCTTCTAGGAAGATTATATCGTGGCATGGACGTGAGTGAATACAATGGTAAATAAGCGTTATGTACGACAACACTAACAAATAAAAGTTGTACGGCAATGCAGTGTATGGCAACACTGAAAAATTGATTGTGTAAGACTGCGCTGTGAATGATAACACTGAAGAATGGAAGTTATAAGTTATGCAGTAACGTTTTTGTTGTGCAAAGCTACTTTGCAGTCCTATTGCTCACTCTACGCACCTGCAGGAGGCTCCAAGAACACGACCGAGAAGTTGAGGGCGGCAGCGAGGGCCTTCACCATCTGCACATCCATGCCATAACTCGGCACGCTGCGACCATCGTCGTTGTCACACACCAAGTGTTGTGACAAGGTGTCACACACCTGACAACAAGTTGTCACAGAAGTTGTCACAGAAGTTGTCACACAAGTGACAACAAGTTGTTACAAGTTGTCACACACCTGACAACTTGTTACATACTGGTCAATTCTCTTCGTCCGCGTGCCGTTTAAGAGCAAACCATCGCGCTTAAAAAGTGGACACTTCGTCAATGTTTTGGAGATGATACGCGGGAGCCCCGTCACTTCGTCTTGACCTAAATCTACCTTAATGCGCCGGCGATACGCCTTTGATTTTTGACTGGGAATTAATTGCATGTCTTCCTTAAGTCTGAGTGCTCAGACAACGTTGCAGAACGCAAGGTGTTGCTTGACGCGTACGGAAAAGGCTAACTTCGTTGTCCTGGTGACAAGAACACCAACTCATTTTTCCAAACCAAGAATTCTGTTCGCCTTATTAAACTTATTACCAGTATATTTTATGTTCTTACAAGTATTGTATGAATTGCAGTTCAATGGCTAATTTTTTCCGAATTAAGTATAAAGACTGTCTATAACTGTCAGAAATGAATTTGAAATTTGCCCAACTCGAAGAACTAATTAGATTCATATTAATGCAGTGCCAATATGAATTAAAGATGTGAATAAAGTTTTTAACCAGAAACTGGCGTAAATGAACTTAGGTATCCATTAAACTTTAGTAATAGGATTTGAGAATCAAACTCAAATACTACTTGCATAAGATGACTATATTAAATGACACTATATGAATTTCAAAAGTTTGATGTTGGTCTTTATATTTCACTGGATAGTTAAGCAATAACTTCTATTTTCATGAAATTATAGGAATTTTTTCATCTCATATTTCCGCAGAGACTACATAAATTCCCTGTGCCTATAAAATCCATGCCTATATTATTCTACATAATTAGGAAATTAGCCTATAACTATTTCAAACAAACTTGGATTTCCATTAAACTTAAGGAACTCATTCCATTTATAGAATCTTTTTCATGCTTGTGAACTGAGTTGATTCTCTGTTGAATTTTCAGCCTTTAACAA